TGATCACGCTAACCTCTCCCAGTCACCGACGACGATACCAGAGGACACCCTGATGGAATCGAGCTCTTAGTCCGCCCTGCCGCGCGACCAGCTGCTGCGGCACCGTGGCGCGGCCTCCTGGAGCCATGGCCAATGAGGAACATGTTGGAGACCTCACGCGGCGCGCGATAGTAGGAGAATTCTTTCGATTTTCCCTGGCGATCGTTGGCGTGACCCGCGGGGGAGGAGGGGGGGCGGGGCTGGTCACGTCACGATTCGTGCCTTCGCCGTCTGGGAATGCCCAGGAATGGCTCATTCCCACACGGCGCCGGCGTGAATTCTCACGTGGCCAAGAGGGAATGGGGGCGGGACCAGTCACAGACGTTACCGCGAATAATGCAAAACGAGTCCTTGCATTCTAGTTCGCACGTCCGCACAGTCAGATATAAAACAACGTTTGCGCGGCGATGTCCCGACGCAACGCCGACGCAAGTCCGACATGCGTTGGACGTAAATCCAATCTGGCGGGAACCCGACGTATAAACTCGACGTATAAACTCGACGTGGATCCGACGCACATCGGATCTCGAGTTGCCGCGCGAGGCCTCCAGGATGGTCCTCATCATGGCCGCGGCCGTGGCGGCAGCTCTTCGTATATCCTAGGTCCCCCGCGGGGGCGCGAAGGTAGCCGCGCGTCGCGCAAGGGCACGGTGCGCGAAGTCGGGCGGAGGAGGAGGAGGAGGAGGAGGAGGAGGAGGAGGAGGAGGAGGAGGAGGAGGAGGAGGAGGAGGAGGGGAGGAGGAGGAGGAGGAGGAGGAGGAGGAGGAGGAAGAGGAGGAGGAGGGAGGAGGAGGGGGAGGAGGAGGAGGAGGAGGAGGAGGAGGAGGAGGAGGAGGAGGAGGAGGAGGAGGAGGAGCGGCAGGGGCCCCATTTTGGCTCTCGGGGCCCGCCGGCCGACGATTCCCCGGGCGCGGCGCGCGCTCCCCGCGGCGCGCCCGCGCGGCCGCCCCCGCCCGATGGGGGCGCGCGGGGGGCCGGCCGGCGAGCGGCGCGGCGCGCACGGGACGCGGAGGGCGAGGGTGTCCGAGGGAGCGAACTCGGAGTCCTCGGGAGGAGGAGGAGCACACAGGCACAAGGAATCGTCGATTCCCCCAGAAAAAATAGATGGGAGAATGGGGGCAGCGGGGGGGGGGGAGTGCGGAGTCCTCAGGAGGAGAAGGTAAAACAGGGCCAGGATCGGGACAAATCGCTCCAGAGCGTTCCGGAGCGCTCTCAGAGCGTTCCGGAGCGCTCTGGAGCGGCCGCGGCGCCCACTACATCCTCCAAAAACCCGCCGATTCTCAGAGAATTCGAGTTATCCCGATCCGATTTCGTCCCGATCTTCGCGTCGTTTTAGAAGGAGCACACAGACACAATGAATCGTCGATTCCCCCAGAAAATATGTGGGAGAATGTGGGCAGTGGGGGGGGGGAAGACAGAAGCCCAGAAGGTATGGGAAAATGTGGGGAACATTTTTCTTTGTGTGTGTTTCTTTGTGTGTCCCTGGGCCCCTTCGAGTCCGCCCTACCGAGATCGGGGGACGCAAGACTCGAGTAGGCCAGATCTCGGGTCTGCCGACGTTTTCTGACGAGCGCGTCCTGGATTCTGACGGTCCAGTTATCGTGGGACGTTTGCGGCGGGAGTTTGCGCCGAATTTCAGACTGGGTCTCGTCCTTCTTATGCTGGCCCCGTCAGGCCAACCCAAGTCCCCCGTACAGTCGGGGCCCTGAAGAAGGAACCCTTTTCGTTGGGGAGGGGCTCCGTGTTCCTTGATTGCTCCACAGTTTGCCTTGGGTTTTGCTTTTGTTTTCGATGGGAAATCGAAGTCCAACTTGTGGATCTAAGGCGCCTCGTTCCTTATTTAGGGTTCCTTGGGTCAACGTTCCCACTGTACCGGAGTCTTACGTCTCCCCAGCGAGAGCACGCAGCCTGCTGCGGCCCTCACTGCACCGCGTGCGTCGCTGCAGAGTGGCTTCGGCGGACGGGCACGCGTTTCGGAGGCGGATCGACCTCCCACCCTGGCACGTGGACTAGCGAGTTGGCCGTTTCCGGTCCGCGAGAGGGCGTCGTGGCCGTCATTTGTGCGGGTCCCCGTCCGTCGGTTTCGGTCCTGGGCCGTTTTCATCAAAGGGTGGATTGCTAGAGGGAGGTTTGTCCACCGCCGAACGTTGGCGCTAACGCATCTTCTGGTTGCGACAAAAATCTACGGCGGCTCTGGGTTTGGGAGGGTTTTTTTTGCTTTGCCTCTGAGGACCGATTTTGAGCGGCTTTGCCCTTTGTCCCCGTGTCCTGACTGGTACTCACGGGGCCCAGTCAGCGCAGATCATTTGGCCGCTCTCAAGCAGAAAAACGATGACCATGACCAGGTTGTCGCGGGACTTTGTCGACGCCGACTTGCGGTCATGGTCCATGCCAGCCGTCGCTGATTCGCCAGGCCAGTCCACGAACGGACGGTGGTCAAGACGGGCGATTTCTAAGATCGACATAGACACTTCCGCGATCAGCTTTGGTCGTAGTCATCGTTTTCTTCATGGCGCTCGGCCCCTACAGCCGAAAAGGTATGTGACCAGGAAAAATCGGTGACCGAAGACGTGTCCGAAAGTGCGATTGAAGATGTAGTGTGGCCGACACTGTGACCGAACTTGCAGATCGTGTCGTCTTGAAACCACGGATTTCGGTCACGCCCTGGCGTGTCAGCACAACATCGGGCGCCAGCTGCGGTCACGCTGGGGAAGATTTTTGGGGCACAGCGTCGGTCATCACAGCCCCCCGATTGTGAGGCCACTCCCAGAGGCCTCGGGCGGCGCGTGACAGTTGCATGTTCTAGTCCCCACGACCGACCCGTCAGATGTGGGACGACGCTCGCACGGCGATGCTCTGACGCACATCCGACGTGAATCCAGCGCTAATCCGACGCAGTCCAACGGAGACCCAACGCAATTCCGACGTGGATCTGGCGTGCACTGGGTTCCGAGTGGCCGCGCAAGGCCTCGGGGATCTCCCTCATATAGCCCTGAAAGGGACGAACCCGGATATCTGGCCGCTCCGATTCTTTCGATGCGTGGTTCCCCGGAAGTGGGCCAGTGTCACGTCCCGGCGAGCCTGTTTCTGACGGTCGCGGCGCCGGTTGAGGGCCCTTAAGGAGGCCGAACACGGCCCAAACCAGGGCGCTCCAGTTTTGTCGGAGCCACGGTTCTCTCGGTTCTTTCATTGGGCAAAACGCACGAAAAGGCCAGGGGCGTTTTCAAGATCGACGTTTTTTTTCCCCCAGTCTGGGATCCGTCGTTTTTCCGTTTTTGGGATTACCTGGGAGGGTTGCGTGACTTTCTTTGCTTTCGGGTGCCGCGGCGCCAGAATCGATGCTGAAGCATCCCTGGTCGAGGACTCGCCCACGCTGAGCTATACCTAATCCCGCCTGATCTGGCTTCATCCCGTTGAATATGGCTTAGTCTTGGGCTCATTTCGGGGTTCCGTAGAGGGGGGGTTATTCCAAGGCGGGGTTTGGGAGTGAGCTCAGCTGGATGCTCACACCGCCGTCTTCCAGGAGCTGTTTAGAGCGCTTTCCCTCGCGACCCCACCTCTGCTCCTGCTCCCACCTTTGCGTCCCCCCGACGAGCGAGCTGGCTTGACACCGCTGCGGAGTCGGGCTTACCAGCTCTCCCCGCGCGCGCCCCTGCGCGCGGGGGGGGACGGCCGCTGCACCCGGCGCCAGGCGGGGCGCCTCACTGCCCAGGAGTCGTGCACGCGGGGGGAGCGCTGCGCGAGCAGACCGGCCCTCCGGGAGGCTGTTCGGAGCACCTCGCTGCGCAGAACGCCTCTGTTCAGCGTGTGGCCCCTCCATCGGGCTTCGCAGCCAGCACTTCTCAGGCGATCGCGAACATGGATCAAGGGGGCGTGGATTAGCGACGGGTCCCGTTTCCGTGGGAAATCGCGGATCTCCGCCGCCGAGCGAGGCGGCACCGGCCGCATTTCGGGGAGGGCACCTCCCCCGATCCATGGATTTGGCGACCGCGCGCCACATCCATGGATCGCTAGTCTATGCTTGCGCGCCCCCGAACTTCGTAGTGCAGACGGAGGCCCTTCCAGGAGCCGCCTCCTCAGGAGAGATCGGCCACGCGCAGAGGGGGGGATGGGGAGGGGGGAGGGCTTCTTGGAAGCACCCCTCGGGAGGCGCGGGCCTTGTCTGCAGATGTGGGGCCGGCGCCTTCTGAGAAGCGGCCTCCTTCCAAGAAGCCTTTCCCCCTTCCCCGACCTCCTTGTGTCTAGGCCCTGGCCTCCTAGATGGGGTCCGAGCAGATGGGGTCGAAGGATCGTTCCGCATCATCGATGCATCGCTGATGCGGCTCGACGTGGAGCCCGATTCTCTCCACCCCGACGGTGCCCATGCATCGCCGATGTCTCCGTGTGCGTATCCAGTGCATCTCCCATGCATCGCCGCTGTATCGGCTATGCGGCGAGATCCTCCGACCCCATCTACTCGGACCCAATTCTAGGAGGCCTCTCTTGTGCGCGCCGCCAGGGGGAGGTGGGGGAGGAGGAGGAGGAGGAGGAGGAGGAGGAGGAGGAGGAGGAGGAGGAGGAGGAGGAGGTGGGGGAGGAGGAGGAGGAGGAGGAGGAGGAGGAGGAGGAGGAGGAGGAGGAGGAGGAGGAGGAGGAGGAGGAGGAGGAGGAGGAGGAGGAGGAGGAGGAGGAGGAGGAGGAGGAGGAGGAGGAGGAGGAGGAGGAGGAGGAGGAGGAGGAGGAGAGAGGAGAGGAGGAGGAGGAGGAGGAGGAGAGGAGGAGGAGGAGGAGGAGGAGGAGGAGGAGGAGGAGGAGGAGGAGGAGGAGGGAGGAGGAGGAGGGAGGAGGAGGAGGAGGAATGGAGGGAGGAGGGGAGGAGGAGGCGAGGAGGAGGGAGGAGAGAGGGATGGAGAAGGAGGAGGAGGCGGAGGAGGAGGCGATGGAGGGGGCGAGGAGGCCGCGCGATGCCTCCCCGCCCCCAGGTGCCGCGGCTGGCGCCGCTGGCGCCCCCGCTGCTGGCGCTGCTCGGCGCGGGCGCCTTCGTGGGCCCGCGGCCCGCGGAGCGCCCCGCGCGCCGGGGCCCCGGCAGGGGCGCGGCGGCCGAGGATCAGTCGGGGCCCCCCCAGACGTCCTCCTCCTCTTCCTCCTCCTCCTCCTGCTCCCCCTCCTCCCCCTCCCCCTCCCCCTCCTCCTTCTCCTCCTCCTCCTCCTCCTCCTCCCCCTCCTCCTCCTCCTCCTCCTCTCCCATCCTCCTCCTCCTCCTCCTGGGACACGCCCGACCTAACTCTACGCGCAGGAGCCTTGCGGGCTCGCCATCGGGGGCCTACCGCCGATCGAACGGCGATGTATCGCCAATCGGCGACCGCATCGTGCCGGCTCCTCGCCCGCAGACCTGGGCGGGCGAGGAGCCGGCATTGTTCGTTGTTCGGGGGCGGAAAAGAGGGGGGTGATGGTTAGGGGGTGGTGGATAGCATGGCGTGGACCATGATGTTTCCCAGATTCCATGGCGCCTCTTCTTATTTCATTGCGTCCCTGGCCCCCCCGCTGGGCCGCGCACATGCCGCCGGTCATGATTTGCACCCCCCCTCTTGGACACCCCCCTCTTGGCCGCTCTTGAGTTGTCGGGTCGTGCCCCCAGCTTCGGAGACGACGCTGGACTCAACCCGGGCCTGTCCCTCTACAGGGGGAATGCTCAAAAATAGTTAAAAAATAGTGTGGGGACGTTTTTACTGTTCTTTTTGGTTATTTTGGAAGCACTTCTTGAGTATTCTTGATTTATCGTCCAAAATCTGCCTGCATGGGGGACGTGCCTGACCTAACGCTGGACGACAGGCGACCGACGACCGACGAGTGCGGCAAGATGTGGAAACGCCACTGCGGGAACCTTTGGTCCCAGAATCGTTTTTTTGCTGCGGCGCCCTGTCGTTAATACCCAGGCCTCATAGATGGGGTCGGCGTAGATGGAGTCAGAGGATCGCGCCGCATCGCCGATGCATCGCCGATGCGACTCGATGTGGAACCCGATTTGCTTCACCTCGACGTCGCCGATGCACCGCCGACGTTGACGATGCATCGCTTGCGCATCGCCGATACATCGCCGATGCATCGCCGATGTATCTGCGATGCGGTGCAATCCTCCGATCCCATCTACTCCAACCCCGTCTAGAAGGCCTCTAAAGAAGAAGAAGAAGAAGAAGAAGAAGACGCAACTACATAAACATAAATTTCTGGAGCTCCTCGCGTGTTTCTTGGATCTGCGCTGGAGCCCTTCCTTGGTGCGCGGAGCGCGGCAGGGGCGGCGCTGGAGGCGCTGCCAGGAATACCCAGCGCCAACCCAAGACATCCGCGCGGAGTTCCGAGAGTTTCTGCTTATGCAGTGCTTCTTGTCTCTTCTCCTTCGAGGGAGGCAGCGGCTCGGGATGGAAAGTCGGTCCTGGGGAAATGGTTTGCACGGGGGTCCACGTTGGGAGACATTGGTGACGTTGGTCGGGTGACCGCGCGATCGGGGGGAAGCTCGAAAGCGGGTCGCACAGAATGGGGACGGAAGCCAACAACAGTTCTAGTTTTATGAGAACTTTTCTCGGGGACCAACTGACGGCATACACGTGAACATTCGAAGCTCCGCGCGAATTTGTTGGATCCGCGTTCGGCCCCCCAGGCGGCGCCTCCGACGCCGCCCCTGGCGCGCTCCAGCGATGGGGATTCAGCACAGATCCAAGAAATCCGCGCGGACCTCCAACAGTTTATGTTTATGCAGTGCTTTCTTCCTGTACACTCGCTGTCGGTGCTGCAGCGGGCGGTGCCTATTTGGGAGAAGCGTTTCCTGCCAATCATCGGCCACTCTGGGTTATGGACTACACCTGCCATCGGGATTTGTCCCCCACTCTTCCTTCTTCATGTCCAGACATCCACTGTGTGTATGTGTTTCAATCCGCCGCCCCAGGGATATCCACGAGGACAGTTTTTCACCCCAGATCAGTTTTGGATGGTCCCGGGGCCCAACGACGGGCCGAGATCGAAGAAAGGCGTTGGGACTGAACATATCATACTGCTGCTGGGATGCAATTCCTGAGAGGTAGAAATCCAGCATCGTTGCTGGCATATCCATGGTCGACATCAGGCCTCGTCCGGCATGATCCCATTTAACTGGGCTTCATTCCAGGAGTAATCCAGCATGTTCCGTTCGAATAACCTGTTAATCGGGCTTGCTAGCCTCTATTCGTTCCTACGAAGACCTCACAGAAGTGGGTCCCCAGTATTCTGGACCATCCACCCCGGGGAGCATTCTTTCGTGCCAGATTTTTTGTTGACGGTCCTGGGGCCCGGCGAGGGCCCCTAGACGCCGAAAGTTACGAACAATTTCCGTCTTGTTTTGTCCACTGTAGCGGTCTAGTTCTGACGACGTCGACACCCAGAAGTCTCGACCAGACCTCGGGACCGCCGTTTCATCCTGAGCCGTTTGGGGCGATGTTCCGACGAAGGTTCGACGTAAATCCGACGTGAATCGGACGTAATTCCGACGAAATCCGACGTGAACCCGACACAAGTCCGACGTGGATCCGACGTGAATTCGGTCGCAGGGTTGTCGCGCGAGGCTTCCAGGATTTGCTTCATCACGAAAAATCCAAAAGATGTCCCTCGCGATTCGGCAGCATGCAGTTTCGAAGAGCAAGGCATGCCGGGAGCAATCGAACACAGTCAGAGTGGAAGAAGCGAAGACACACAGCTCGGTTGACAGAAGAACTGGTACACCAGATTTCGTAATAAAGGGAGGGGGGTCTCATTTCGGGGGGGGTCTCTTCCAGGCTATCTTGGAGGGCCTGGGGGGTCTGGGGACGATGTTCTGGAGGGTTCTCCCATGGGGGAGGTCTGAAATGGCTTGTCTTGGAGGGTCCAGACCCCCTCCCTTTTATTACGAACTCTGGAGTAGTGGTTGGCTCGGGGAGGGCCCCCTGATGCTCTTCGTGCTGGTTGCATGCTCTCGTGCATCCTGGGGGGGCACCCTCGAAGGCCCTTTTCGGCTTCGGCTTCGGCAGCGGGCCCCCGTGCTCCTGCAGGAGGGGAGCCTGCCCTGGGCCCAGCCGGGCCCCGTATCTCTCGGGCGCCTCCCAGGAGAGGAAAAAAACACACACAGACACAATGAATCCTCGATTCCCCCAAAAATATAGGAAAATATGGGAAGTGGGGGGGAGGAAGACAGAAACCCCGGAAATATTGGAAAATATGGGGAATAGTTTTATGTGTGTGCATTTATTTGTGTGTTCTTGGGCCCCTTCAGTCTCACGTCGCATCCGAGTGTGCCACGCCGATCACCAACAGACCGACGATCTCACGCCGCCACCGGCCTGGGCTCTCCGACGGCGCGCCGCGGAGGAGAGCCCCGAGGCGCTGCGGAGGCAGGCGGAGCAGCTGCGGCTGGAGGCCGAGGCGGAGCGGGCGCTGCTGGACTCGAGGCGCCGGCTCCAGGCGGCGGCCACGGGCGGCGGCGCGGAGGGCGACGGGCGGGAGAGGCTCTCGGGCGCGCTCGAAAGGGACGTGTTTTTCAGCAGGGGCGGCCTCGAGGAGGGCGCGGAGCGGTTCGCCCCTCGCCTCGCGGTGCGGCTCCGACGCCCCCTCGTGCTCCTCTCTCTCTCTCCCCCGGGTGGGCGGCGCGAGGGCGCGGAGTCGTCCGCGCGTCGCGCGGTGGCGCGAAGCGCGAAGTCAGGCGCCCTTGCTATCTACCCCCTGGCGACGGCGGGCGTGGCCGGGGAGGGGGAGGGGCCGGTCGTGTCGCGGTGCTCGCCGGCGCCGTCTGAGAGCGCACGGCCAGTTCCCTGACGATGCCGGCGCGAGTCATGACGTGTGGCCAGCGGGAGGTGAAGCAGTGGCGAAGCGTCCTGGCTCGCCGATGGCCCTACCAAACACTGTCCTAAGAACCTTGTTCGTGGTGTCCACGCGATGTTCTGAGAGCATTTCTGGCGGAGCCTGTCTTGTTTTAGCACATCGGGCTTGTGCTCGGAGAACTTTGTTGTTGTTCCTAGAGCATTTTCTGGGTTCTACCAACATCTCGTGGTAGGACTACAGGAATGCCGGGACGGTCGGTCCCTGCTCAATGAGGGGCGGGGTCAGTCACCGGCACCTATCATGACGCTGCCATATGTGTTCGAGGCGTCGGGTCTCGGAGGCAGAGAGGTCGGAGGAGAAGGGGGGATGGGGAGGGGGGGGCCGTCAATTACGAGCCTTGCTGCAAGCGGGTGTTTTCGGCTCCGCCGCATTCCGATTTCCTCGATGCGTCGGCGCCTCCGGCGCCTGGAGTCGCCAGAGAGACCAGCTACGCGAGATGAGATGCGTGCGTTGCTTCGTCAAGGCTGCCCTTGCATACTGGCTTCTTCGGCACATCCTGAGCCAGCATTGACGTCCAATAAGCTCGACATTCATTGCGACACACACGACCCCTAGCCCTAATGACACGACGCAGACGTGGCCTCACTTAGGTCCCCGTCTTCGCATTAGGGATAATACATCTGGGTGGGTTGGTCTCATACACCTTCAGAAAAGACCCCCTATCCCTAGTGGTTTTCTCGGCCCCTTACCTGGTTTTCTCGGCCCCTTACCTTGTCCCCTCCCGAAGGGTTAGGGGTCCTCTTTTGGTTGATCGGGGCGCGAGGCGCGACGTTGGCTGACGCAGAAATCCGATACGCAAAGAGACCCATGCCGCCGGCTTTAGGTCGAACGTGTCCCCCTACAGGCGGATTTTGGGCGACAAATAAAACATATTCAAAAGATAATCAAAAACAATCCCAACAAATATCAGAACAAAGAAACGCCTCCTGATTTTTTTATGAGACCCATGCCGCCGGCTTTATATCGAACGTGTCCCCCTACAGGCGGGTTTTGGGCGACAGATAAAGCATGTTCAAAAGATGATCAAAAACAACCCCAGCAAATATCATAACAGAGAAACGTCCCCTGACTAGTCTTAAAATTGTTGAATACTCCTCCTGTAGAGAGACGTGGCCGACGTAGCGCCTGCTGCGGTTCGGGCTGCGGGCTGCGGCTGCGGCTCGGGCAGCGGCTGTGGCTCGCGCCGCCGGCCCGGTGCGCGGCTGCAGCTCGGGCTGCGGCTGGGGCCGTGGCTCGGGCTGCGGCTGCGGCCGCCTGGAAGTCGGCGGGGGGTTTGAGGCGGCCCAGTACTTGACTTGGCATCGCTCGGACGTGTGCTTGTTTCCTTCGGCGAGGACCATCGAGGAGAATCCTTGATCATTTTGCGAAAAATCCACGCACGAAACCGCACAAAAACACAGGGAATGGACGTCCGAGCGATGCCCAGTTAAGGGGGGCCACACGCGAACCCTACTCTTAAGTCGGGCGTGTCCCTCTACAGGGGGAATATTCAAAAATAGTTTAAACATAGACAGGGGACTCCTCCTTGAGTATTATATTTACATATATATATATATACATATATATATACACACATATATATATATATATATATTATTACGACTGGTATATTTTTTTATGATTCGGCCCCCCCCCCCCCCCCGGTAGGGGGACACGCCTGACTTAACCTTATCCCTGCCCCCCGCGATTTCTGAGGGGGAGGGTGGGGTTCACGTCGCTCGGGGGCTCCCGAGCGAAGCGAACCCCACCCCCCCCCGCAGCAATCGTGGGGGGCAGGTGCGGGGCTCGCATGTGGCCCCCTGGCACTGCTTCGGGCGAGCGGGACCGGGGGGTCGAGGTCCGAGGGTTGTTCTGGGGTCGGGAGGGCCGCTCGCCTCGTTCAGCCTCCGCGGGGCCGCCTTCGGGCGCCCTCGAACCGTCCCACACGGCTCCGGGGTGAACCTTTTAGAGCCAGCGTTGAGTCGGGCGTGTCTTTCTACAGAAGGAATATCCAAAAATAGTTCAAATAATTAGGGGAGGATTGTTTCTTAATTACCCAACAGCTTTTGCTGATAGGTTTCTAGTGGTCTCAAAAGAGAGCATCATGACTCCTCAGGGGGGTCTGGGCGGGACCCGGACAGGCTGCCGCCGCGGCTGCCGCCGAAACCAAAATCGCTTGGGACATCCTCGCAAAATCGCTCTTGGCGCTGCTAGAACTCCATTCCCGGGCCACATTTTGGATGCCCGGAGCCAATCATTCCCGGGCCACATTTTGGATGCCCGGAGCCAACTGTAGGCCACTTCGTGCTCTTCAAGTTCCCAGAACTCCATTCCTGGGCATGATTTTGAATGCCCGGAGCCAACTGTAGGCCACTTCGTGTTCTTCTAGTTCCCAGAACTCCATTCCTGGGCCACATTTTGAATGCTGAGGCAGGCTGATGCTGCGGCCGAGGCAGGCTGAGGCTGAGGCAGGCTGAGGCTGAGGCCGAGGCTGAAGGCAGACTGAGGCTGAGGCTGAAGCAGACTGAGGCTGAGGCTGAGGCAGGCTGAGGCTGAGGCTGAAGCAGGCTGATGCTGAGGCAGGCTGAGGCTGAGGCTGAGGCTGATGCAGGCTGAGGCTGAGGCAGGCTGAGGCTGAGGCCGAGGCTGAAGGCAGACTGAGGCTGAGGCTGAAGCAGGCTGAGGCTGAGGCTGAGGCAGGCTGAGGCTGAGGCAGGCTGAGGCTGAGGCTGAGGCAGGCTGAGGCTGAGGCTGTGACTGCGACTGCCGTTGCCGCTGCGACTGTCATCGCGAATGCGACTACGACTGCGAGAACAGCAGAATTCGACAACTGGATTTTCATCTGAATCTTAAGGGGAATGCTTTCAGATATGCTTCTACACATCGCTGTTAGGCTGCTTTGCCGGGATGTTTTTTGGGTATTTTTGCATTTTTGGGTGTATTCTTGATGCTTCTCTCAAAATCCGCCTGTGCGGGGACATGCCCGACCTGAAACGAACCCGGGAGGGGTCCGGGGACCGATTCTGAGCGGAGTCGGTTTCATCCCCCTCTTCTGGCAGATGCTCTCGGGACCCAACCAGCTCGGGCCCCCAGGCCGTCTCTCGACTAGGCGTAAGAGTGACCTTTCGCCGGAGTGACCTTTGGTGCGGGCGCAATGGGGTTCCCCGCTCGCCGAACGCGATGCGATAGTAGCGCCTCCCGCGCCCGTGTTTGGTCCCCCCGCAGCCCCCCAAAAAAGCCGCGCACCAAAGGTCACTTTTGCCCAGGGCCACTCCTACGTGTAGCCGAGTCTCCAACGGCCAACGTTCCCTCGTCTCCACGGCCGGACTCGGAGAGCACCCCTGGGCGCAGTCGCAGCCGGAGGGGCCGGCGGTTGCGGAAAGAGCGGGGGGAACGGCACGATCGCAGAACGGGGGAATTGAGGTCTTTTGACCTCTTTGCGTCGTTGCAAAAATACGATTGAAGGTTTTCTTTCCTTCCTTGGTTCACGGTGGCCCTCGCCAGGCCCTGGGGCCTTCCGAAGAACGACCGGCGACGCCGAAAGCCTGGGCTCGATGGGGGATCGCAATAAGCAGGGCTCGCTGTCGGGGTCGCCGCGGGCGATGCTCATGTTGGACAAGCTCCGCCTTGTACAACGGCGGCCGCTGTCGGCTCTGGACAGGATTCGTAGATGCTCGTTCTGTGGACCGTCCTTGGGCCCACCTAACGGATCCGGTCGTTTCAAGTTCGAGGATTGTTCGGTTCGGGCTCGACTCAAGGTCGACTCGGGGTCGACCCAAGCCGACGAACGCTCGACGCTGCATCGACGCATGAGAAGAGCTAGTTCCTCCAGGAGGGTATCAAGAACGAACATCCAAACATGTGCTGCAGGGCACGGGCCCCGTCTTCTCAAGGGCGCCATCGCGGGCGCGAAGGTATTCGCGCTTCGCGTTTCGGCTCCGATTCCTCCTCATCCTCCTTTTCTCCCTTGGGAGAAGGCGCGAGAGCGCGAAGTTATTCGCGCTTCGCGCTCTCGCGAAGTGCGAAGTTGGGAGCCCTTGCTTCTCCGCTCCCACCTCGGGCGCGCTCAGGCTCGGCGAGGAGGCCGCGCGGGTGGCCGAGAAGCTGGAGGCCGCCCGCAAGCAGCTGAGGCCGCGGAGCGTCAAGCGACCACCTCACCGATCCTGGCCAGGATCGGATGTCCTCAGGCATCCAACGCTTTGGTTGGTTCAGTCCCAGCGGTGTTCTTCGAGCTCGGCTCCGGGATCCTTTCTCCGGGTCCCGTGACCATCAAGCACAGCTCGGGGACGAACCATTAACCCTGGGGAAGCGGTCGGGCTTTTCTGGGGCCGCGGGCAGAGTCTGTCGTGGCGAAGGACCCATGCATGTGCAAGGTTCAGTCTCGCGGGCAGGCAGGGCGAAGGAGGGAAAGAGAGCTCCCTGGGGGTTGCCGGTTGCGGGGTCTGCCGTTCTGGTCTCCGGTGGAGCGCACCCTGCGGGGCCACGAAGCGTGTGAGTCGGGGGCAGAAAAGAGGGGGGTGATAACTAGGGGGGGTGGATATCATGGCGGGTGCTATTTCCCAGATCTCATGGCGCCTCTTCTTACTTCATTACGTCCCTGGCCCCCCCGCTGGGCCGCGCACATGCCGCCGGTCATGATTTGCACCCCCTCTCTTGGACACCCCCCTCTTGGCCGCTCCCGAGTGAAGGGCGTGGCGACATGGGCACGCGGAGAGCGTCGGCAGGAGGGGGCCAGGGCGCCGCGGGAGGAGGTCGCGAGGCGACGTCTCCGCAGAACGAGGGCCCATCGTTTCTGCGGGTGTCAGGGCCTACGCCCTCCTGGCTCCTGCTTGGGAGGCGGACACACCGATCCTGGGCTCAGGACCGAAGAGCGGATCTTTGGAAGCCCGAAACGGGTACGGAAAAAATGGGCACGATGCCCGACAACAAATTTGTCCAAAACCGACTGCGGCCGCTGTTGGGCAGGCGGTCTGTTGTCTCAAGCGGACAGCGTCCGTGGCAACGAGACCGTGGGGGGGCCTCGATTTGGGACCCTTCGGTGTCTCTGGGGTCTGTACTTTAATGCGGTTGCCCCGCTCTTGCGGAGGGGTCCCAGACGCGCCGTCAATAATACTTGATTGACCCCCTCCCCCTTTGTTGTGAGGTTTGGGCTGCCCATTCTTTCCGCACCCATTTTTCCGTCGTCCCGATTGTTCGCTTGCGCCCACTGCCGAGGAAGGCCGAGGCGTTCGCGCTCCCGGAGGCCCCGGCGCTGCGGCTGGAGGTGGCGGCGCTGGAGGAGGAGAGCGCGAAGGTGGCCGCCGCGTTGGCGGCGCCCGGGCCGGAGCGGCAGGGTTGGATCAAGGGGGCGTGGATTAGCGACGGGTCCCGCTTCCATTTTGGAAGTCGCGTATTTCGGCCGCCGAACGAGGCGGCACCGGCAGCATGTTCTTTACGCGCCCCCGAAACAAGACGGGGGAGATTCCAACGGTCCAGTCAGCGTGGACGGGTGAGATCCCAACAGACGCGAGAGGTGTTGTTTGAAGCTGTGTTTGCACGAACATCCTGGTCGTGGAAGCCGAATGATATCCCTGAAAGAAGCTCATTCGGTGTTCATCATGCCCCGATGGGATCTCAACCGTTCAATGTGCCGTACCCAAGACGGCCCCAAATGGCCTCAGGACATTCCAGGACGGCCTCAGAAAGATCCTGGACACTTTTCATTGAAATTCGCGTGGAACCTTTTCATTGACCAATTAGCATGGTCTGAATCTGGGAATTGCACTGAAAAGTAATTGGGAATCCACTTGAATTCACTTGGCGACTCTGGACCTAGCACCTGGCACAGTTTGATTGACATCGCGCTGACATCATGAGAGGCATTGGTTAATGTGCTTAATCTGCATCTGGTCCATTATTCAATTGTCATCCATGTGAATTCATGTGACAATGATATGCTTTGATCTTTTGTCTAGGGTTCTTCGAATGTAATTGTCGTTTGAGTCAGGTTCAACGCAAGATCCCTGGATCTGGAATCCTTCCCTTTCAATTTGAAATGTACTTCAACCTGCTCAAAATTTGAGTTTCAATGGGCTTGATGTGGCATCCTGTTCATTTTCATTGAGGTGCGATCGACATCTGATTCTGGATATGTAGCTCGGGCCATGTTAATTGACATGCGTTTGGCATGCCATCATATTCATATACACTATTCTGTATCCCGGATTTGGTTCATCTCCCTTGAAGTACATTTGACACTTGGATCAGCAGGTGATTCACATGTGTCTTACTTCCAAAGCCACCACATCGCAATTCAAGTTACATGGTATGCACTTGGGACCTGGCCAGATGTTGAGTGGAATTAGTTTGGACACTGGTTCAAGTTCAATGAAAAAGTTATGGATATGCGATCTTGTTCCAAATCCAATCGAAGTATCGCTATCCATACAATGTAATGGATCTGTGACCTGCTCCATCTGAACTGACAGTATGGGATCTGGTGTTGTTTAAGTAGTCAGGTTGTGGGATATGTTGCACCTTAGCCTCATACAATTGGCATCTACTTCGCATTGAGTTCAAATGCTCTGGATGTAGGATCTGCTTCATGTAAAAGGAGCTCACGTCGGAAATGGCGCGGCATTCAATCAATCCAGTTTTTGATTTGGGAGCGTCTTCATTGTGATTGACATTTAAGTGTGCACACTTAGACTTCAATTTTACTCTCGTCGATATTTGACATGTTCCCATACCATGTGACGTACATTCTCGGGTCCTGAATCTGATGATGATCTTCGGGGATCATAGTGGGTTTGTTTTCAAAATGAGAGAGGACTCTTTACGGATTCCTTTTTGGAATCTGTGCAGATCCGATGGGATTTATCCTGACATGTTTTTAGTTTTCTTACGAATGGGAACCTTGAGGATTCATTCAGGACTCTCATGGGTCTCATTGGAATACCCACGGGTCTTAAAGGTTTTGTTATGAATCCATTTGGGACCTTTACGAAACATACGCGAACCCTGAGTAATTCGCAGGGAATCCTCACGAATTCCTTGGAGGCCCGTACGATGCCGAAGGGCGTCCTTGTGAATCTTATGGGAAGCATTCGAAATTTGGGTTTTCCGAAGGCGAAGGCGTCCTTGCATACGAGGAAGCACTAGGGATCTGGAGGCCCGTACGAATCCGAAGGCATCCTTGCAACTCCTGTCTTGAGGGACCCCTGGGAACCGGATAAGAATCCTTACAAGCCAATTGGAGAGTCGTACGGGAATGTATGGGAATTCTTGCGAATCCCATGGGCATCCACACGGATGTTGTAGGAATCTGTGAACCTATCCGCTGGCCACCCTCAGGGATGTTGCCGGAATCCGTGTAGATTTTGCGGAGATCTTCACGAAACCAAATGTGGTGAGGATTTTTACGATTGCTCTTGGAATACGACTCCGATTGGATTTGTTGTACACATTGTCTCAGGACGCAACGCTCTAGAGCAATATCACAGCGCCTTTCTTGAGCGTTTGAACCGTCTTCTTGTAAGGCGCTTATAATGCGCCAGTAAGGCGCTGCTACGGCGCTTGTATGGCGCATAGATTACGCATGTTGGGCTCATGCAGCGTGCTTGGAAAGCGCCCGCAGGGTGCATATACTTCGGCGCATATCAAATGTCCGCATGGCGCCGGTAATGCGCATGTGCGGCGCTTGTATGGCTCGCGTAGCCTCGGATGACCCTCGTTGTGAGCTCACCCGTCCAGGTGTTCGTACCCGTTGGGCTGTCACCCGTGCTGTGGGGATCCCACTTGGTCGCGTTGGAATCTCACGACTGCAGTGGAAACCCATGCCAAGAAACACCCTGCTTGCCGCCAGGGTGTTCTGGATTTCTTCGATCACGACTGCAGTGGAAACCCATGCCAAGAAACACCCTGCTTGCCGCCAGGGTGCTCTGGATTTCTTCGATCTCGACGGCCTTCCCGCGGACAGCGCGACGCTCCCACACCGACAAGCAATGGACGCCCCGGGGTCTCGGTGTTGGGTCTCTTGTGGCAGGCTTCCTGTGGCCGAGCTCCTGCCCCAGACCTGCGACGCCCTGACTTTGTCAGCACGGCGCCCCTGGAAGTCCCGGCCCTTTCCCCGGGACCGGCGTGTCGTCCCGAGTCGTGTTTTTCACGGTCCCGTGGCCTGGCGCGGGCCCCCCCGCGGGCCGCACATAGCCAAAAGATTCCCGTCCTGATTTGTTTTATTACGGCGCGATCATGTCTGGGCGTTCCTCCCCCCCCCCACGATGTCCCGAGGGCCCCCCCCCGGGCCGAAGATAGCCAGGAGCTTCCCGTCCTGATTCTTGTATCACGGCGCGACCGTGTCTGGGTGTTCTTCCTCCCCCCCCCCCGATTTCCCAGGGCCCCCCCGGGCCGAAGATAGCCAAAAGTTTCCCGTCCTGATTCTTTTCATTACGGCGCGATCATGTCTGGGTGTTCTCCCTCCCCCCCCCCGATGTCCCGAAGGCCCCCCCCCCCGGGCCGAAGATCGCCAAACACTTCCCGTCCCGACTTTTGTTTCATCACGCGACCGTGTCTGGGGCTGCTCTCCTCGGGCATCGCCCGAGGAGCCGCCCGCCCCGCCGGCGCAGCGCGCGGCGCCGATGGACCCCGGCATCGCGGCGGCCGCGCGGGCGGCCAAGGCCCGCGGGGGGGCTCGGTGTCGCGTCGGCGACGCGTCGAGAGGAGCGTTACCAGTTTGAAACATACCCCTATCCCTATGTTTGATGTCATCTTACCTCGATGCCGATCTTGAGGATTCCCTCAGTTTCTCAGGGCCTGTCCCTAAGATTGTCCTCGCTTTTCGCTCGCCCATGTTTAGGGATAGGGATACGTTCGAGGCTGGTTAGAGCGGCGGCGAGGGAGGGGGGGGGACGAGGAGGCGAGGGCCTTCTCAGAAGCAGGCGATCGCAAAAACATGGATCAAGGGGGGGGGAGCGAGGAGGCGAGGGCCTTCTCAGAGTCAGGCGATCGCAAGCAGGGATCAGGGGGGGCGTGGATCAGCGACGGGTCCCGTTTCCATGGGAAACCGCGGGTGTCCGCCGCCGGACGCGGCGGCACCGGCCGCATTTTGGGGAGGCGACCCATGGATTGGGCGACCGCGCGCCGAATCCATGGATCGCTAATCCATGCTTGCGCGCCCTCGATTCTCAGAAGGCGGCGGGACTTCTCAGAAGCCGGTCGGCCCGAGGTATAGGACGGGCCCGAAGGACTATCCGGCCGGCCCGAGGTACAGGATCGGGGTCCACTCGGGGAGGGTGCCCGAAACGTGTTCGTGCTTGCAGGATGTTTTGGCGCCTCCTTGGAAGGGGTGCCCTTGGACGACCCGTGGTTTGGCTGGCGGAGAGTCTCATATGTCAGGAGGGAAAAAAACACACAGACACAGTTGATCGTCGACTCCCAGGAAAATATGCAAAAATATGGGAAATGGGGGGGAAACGAAAATCACAAAAAAATGTAAAAACATGGGGGGTCCTTTTATTTGTGTGAATTCATTTGTGTGTCTCAGGGCCCCTTCAATATTCTTGGAGGATGCTATTATGTCCTAGGTCCGGCCGTCAGTTTTGGGGGAAGTCCGCGCGCATTTCTTGGATCGTCGCAGGACCTTCCCCCCATGTCTCCGGCGCGCCAGGGGCGGGGCGGCGCCGGAGGCGCCGCCAGGGGGGCTGCACCGCCGATCCGGGAACTCCGCGCGGACTTCGGACAGTGTATGCCTATGTATCGACTAGGAGTAAGAGTGACCTCTCGCCGGAGTGACCTTTGGTGCGGGCACAGATGGGCCCCCAGATGGCTGAAAACGAAGCGGTGCCCAGGTTTGGTCCCCACGCGGCCCCCAAAACGCCGTGCACCAAAGGTCACTCTTACCCAGGGTCGCTCCTGCGTGTAGCCGAATGTCATGTTTGCTTCCTCGCAGAGAGAGATGCTGCCGAGGTGCCTGAGTTTGGGTCTGCTCTTAGTGGGCCCTGGAAACAGGGCCGTTTTTTTACCGGTTCCGTTTTGCCGTTTTTTTACCGGTTCCGTTTTGCCGTTTTTTTTGCCAGTTCCAACGCTGTTTTTTTACCGGTTCCGTCGCCGTTTTTTTGACTGGTTCCGGCTCCGGTTCCAATCCTGGAGCCGTTTTTTTGCTGTTTCCGATTGCCGTTTTTTTTGCCGTTTCCATGTTGGAGGGACATTTTTTTTGGAAACGGTGAAAAAACGGCCCTGCCGTTTCCGGGGCCCACAAAGTGTCTGCTTTGGGAGGTGTCCTCGAGGTCTGGCCTCCGGGGAGGTTTTCTGCGTCTTCGGGGAAGGCTCAGGAAGCTTCTCAGAAAACCGTGGCTTCTGAGAAGGCCTTCTCCTTTCCGCTGCTCCCTCCCCTGGGCTCCCCTCCGAGAGTCGAGCATGGGGTGCGGGCTCTCAGGCCTCCTCGCGGCCAAACTGGTGGACGCGCCTCCAAGATCGGGGAAACCCAAGGCTCGAGTAAGCCGGAACTCGGGCTTGCCGACGTTTTTTGACGAGCGCGTCCCAAATCTTGACGGTGCAGTGTTCGTGGGATGCTTGCAGCGGGAGTTCGCGTCAGATTTCAGATTGGGTCTCGTCATTTTCATGGTGGCCCCGTCAGGTCAACCCGAGTTCCCCGCAGCCAAGTCCTGCGTCTCCCCGACTGGAGTTGGCCAGGGCGGCGTCAGGGCGGGGCCCGAGGAGCTCAAGCGATGATGGCCCTTGGCGGGCTCGTGTCGTGTCGGCGCGGCGGGGACCCCGCAGCTTCCGTCCACGGTGCCAGCGGCCCAGAGTCGGTCGGTGTCGGACGTTCTGCGCTATTGGAGGAAGCTGCGATCGCCCACGGCTGGACGATCCACGCGGTGTCAGGCCAACGCCCAGAGAGTTCCAAGGAGCCGTCTCAGAGTACCCCCTATTTTTTCCCCAAACAGCTTGCTGAACGGGGTGCTGTTGTGATAGAAGCTAATTCCGGCCGAGGGAAAGCTAAGCAGAGACATCCTCAAACAAATGTGGTGGTCCGGCCCGTTTCGCTTGAGACATCCTCACAACTCTCGTTTCTGAGTTGTCCGGGATTCAGCGTTTCGCCTGAGACATCCTCCTAAATCTGAGCTCTGAGAGGCCGCCCGAGGGGTGGTCCGGGCCGTTTCGCTTGAGACATCCTCGAAACTCTGAGCTCCCAGATGCCGCGCGAGAGGTGGTCCGGGCCGTTTCGCCTGAGACATCCTCGAACTTCTGAGCTCCAAGATGCCGCGCGCGAGGTGGTCCGGCCCGTTTCGCCTGAGACATCCTCGAAACTCTGATCTCCCCGATGCCGCGCGCGAGGTGGTCCGGCCCGTTTCGCCTGAGACATCCTCGAACTTCTGAGCTCTGAGATGCCCTGCGCGAGGTGGTCCGGCCCGTCTTGCCTGAGAAATCCTTGCAACTCTGAGATCTGAGATGCCGTGCGCAAGGTGGTCCGGCCTGTTTCGCACAAGATATTCTCGCAACTCTGAGCTCTCAGATGCTGCGCAAGAGGTGGTCCAGCCTGGGGGCCCAGAAGGCCACATGTTACATATCCTCCATGGGACCCTGCGAGCCTCAGGAGGCCCCAGAGAGGTCCAGGAGGCCGCAGGACGCCCAGGACAGGCCCCAGGGGCCCCCAGGAGATTCCCAGGAGGCTCCCAGGAGGCCCCAGGAGGCCCTCTATCAGAACGTGTCAAGTTAATACACATCCGGTGTCGATTCGTTGATTTTTCCTGCTCTTGTGCCCCCCCCTCCATTTGGAGAGGCCCAAGCGGCCACAGGTTAGATATCCCCCCTGGGAGCCCCAAGATGCTTCAGGAAACCTCAGGTGGAGTTCAGGAGGCCACAGGAGGCCCAGGAGGAAGCTCCAGGAGGTCCCCAGGAGGCCCAGGAGGCACCAGGAGGCCGCAGGACGCCCAGGACAGGCCCCAGGGGTCTCCAGGAGATTCCCAGGAGGCTCCCAGGAGGCCCCAGGAGGCCGCTTATCAGAACGTGTCAAGTTAATACACATCCGGTGTCGATTCGTTGATTTTTCCTGCTCTTGTGCCCCCCCCCTCCATTTGGAGAGGCCCAAACGGCCACAGGTTAGATATCCCCCCTGGGAGCCCCAAGAGGCTTCAGGAAACCCCAGGTGGAGTTCAGGAGGCCACAGGAGGCCCAGGAGGAAGCCCCAGGAGGTCCCCAGGAGGCCCCAGGAGGCACCAGGAGGCCCCCGCAACTCGGAGCTCTGAGACGCCGCGCTCGAGGTGGTCCGGCCCGTTTCGCCTGAGACTTCCTCGCAGCACGTTTCGCCCGAGACATCGTCGCAACTCTGGGGTCCGAAATGCCGCGCGCGAGGTGGTCCAGCCCGTTACGCTGGAGACATCCTCGCAACTCTGGGTTCCGACATGCCTTTCGGGATGAAGAGGAGGTGGACGAGGAGGAGGAGGAGGAGGAGGAGGCATGTTTTAACATGCCATGCCAGCCCGCACTAGGCGGGCACGCAATCGACCTTGGAAACCGCAGTGGGTCTAAAAACCCTGTTTGGGGATACTGCACTCCGGCTATAATTTAAGAGCATGAGGGAAAATCCTGGAGACCTCGCGCGGCGCGCAACAGTTGTAGTATCTAGTCCACACGGCAGCTCCGTAAGCTATGGGTCGACGTTCGCGCGGCGATGCTCCGGCGTCAGTCCGACGTGAATCCGACGCAATTCCGACGTAATCCGACGTGAAGTTGACGTAAACCCGACGTGGGTCCGAAGTAGATCGGGTCTCAAGTTGTCGCGCGAGGTCTCCAGGATTTTCTTCCTACCTTTATGTTCCAGCCTACTTTAGCCTTGACCGCCAGAAAGAAGTTCGAGCACCAAAAAAATGCCGAAACTCGAGGGTGTTCACGTGTCGGGCCCTGGGGGGCACTCTTTCGACACTATTTCGACACTTTTCCAGGTGCTCGAAATTATTCCTGGGACGTGATCCTGAGGCACGAGGGGAGCAGCATACTCCTAGCTAGGAGGGCCCATTCCTTCCCAGAAGCCCGACGGCCTCGTCCGGCTGCCCCACCCCTCGCGCCGTGCCCACTCCTCCGCGCCCTGCCCGCCTCTTTGGCTACGCGCCGCCGCGAGGCCTACAAGGAGGAGGCCAAGGTAGACGGCAGGACCGAGGCCGAATGGCAGGAGCTGGCGAAGCGCTCGGCGGCCATCCGAAGAAGCAAAAGCGGCACAAGCAGAAGCTTCCGGCGCCCCGCGCGGATCTCTTGCATTTGCGCTGGAGCGCCCTGGCGGCCCCTCCGGCGCCGCCCCCGGCGCGCTGCTCCGCGCGCCAGGGAGGGGGATCCAGCGCAGATCCAAGAAGTCCGCGCGGAGCGCCAACCGTTTCTGTTCGGCGTCACCCCAACATACTTGTACTATATGTGCGTCGCCCCCCCAGGGGCGACGCGCGCACCGAGACATCTTATCGTATATGCATCCTGGCGGGCGCTCTCTGGCCACACCGCTCGGGGAGCGATATACTACAAGATGGGTATACTATATGTTCGGGTGGGACGCGCGCCTCCAAGGAGGACTTATAGTATTAGTATGTCCCTGTGCGTCCCATATGTGCATGCAGTCTTTTCCTTCTTCGGGCCATGGATGCGGAGGAGCGGTACGACCTGGCGCGCGAGCTTGGGCCGCAGGGTCGCCGGCGCGTGGACAGCCTCCTGGCGGAGATGAACGCCGAGGACGCGGCCAAGGATCCGGCGGCGGCGAAGCGTCCTGGCTTTGACTACGGCACAGGGTCGGGTATATCGGGCCGGGTGAAAGGGGGGGATTGGGAAAGGGGGGGGTACGAAATTTGCTGCATGCAGCTGGTTTCGGCCTCACCGAGGGGCCCATTCCTCGATGCATGGCCGCCTCTGGCGCCGGGAGGCGCCGGGAAAATCAGCTAATTACGTGAGCTGATTCTCAACCCCCCCCTTTGCTATCCCCCCCTTCCGCCCGACCCGAGTATGGCCAGGGCCCCAGGTCAGGGTGCCGGAGGAGTGGTGGGGCCTCGGAGCCCTTGTCAATGGGCCAGGATCACCAAGCCAGGCCTGCCGTACAGCTCGTGTTTTTTCGGGTGGCGGCAGCTCCGGTCAGCGGAGCCGGGCGGGGGGGCGTCCCCCAGTACACATCACGAAGCCAGGTCCCACGAGACCCAGTTCTGCCACCGCCCGATAGGTAACATCTTGGCCGGTTTGTTGCGAGCTCTTCTCGGAGCAGTTCTGGTTGACACAGTCCATCTTTTAATCAGTCGGTGCATGCTCTGAGAGCCTTGTTCCCGAAACAATGCTTGCACTTAGGGGCTCGTGTTCGCTTCCGAGGAACTGAGCTTGTGGGCCGTTCTGGCGGCTGTGTTGTCGCTGTCGCCGCCTCGTCGCCGCCCGTCGTCTGGGCCTGCGGGCCGGTCTGGTGGCCATCCGCCCCGTCTCCGCCTCGTCGCCGCCCGCTGTCTGGGCCTGCTTGTCGGTCTGGTGGCTATGTTGTCGCCGTCGCCGCCCCGACGCAGCCTACATTGCACAATGTAGATTGCGCCGCATGTATTGCACCCCACGGATTGCACCACAGAGAGTGTCTCACATAGATTGCACGACGTATAGGGCGCGACATAGCTTGCTCCACATATATTGCGCAATCTAGATAGCCAAACGTAGATTGCAAGTTATGACTTGTTACCATACACTGCACCGCACATATTGATCCAACATATCCGCATATATTGCACACACAGATTACACCATATCTATTGCACCACGTCGATAGCACATTATATATTGCACAAATTAGATTGCCCTATATGGATTGCACCGGACATATTGCGCACCACATCGAATGCACCTGACATATTGCATAGCAAAGATTGCACATCGCAGATTGCACAACATCGATCGCACCACACACATTGCACACTATAGATTGCTCCACATAGATTGCACACCATCTGTTGCTCTGGCTGGCCCCGTCTGGGGGATCTGGGGGGGGGCCAGGACATTTAATACATTTATCCCAAATACTCCAGGACATTAATTATTTTACGTGGCCGTGCTCTTGAAGCCGTAGGCCTCGGTTGCACATCGCGGTTGTTGCAATATCGTTGAAGCTGTGCTTTTTTATGTCATCATGAGTCTGTTATCACCTACATCAATGCATTCACTGTTGATGTTCGGTGTTCAACTTGTTCGCCCAAATAGGCAGGCCTGGAGAATATATATCGAAGTTTCGGGCGCGGGCCCAAATTTTGACCTTGTGCGGTCTTGGCCGTTCCATGGCTTCTGGATAGTTGCATTGCTCATTTGGCTAGTTCCACGGCTTTCAATTGCTAGTTCCGTGGCCCCCAATGGCTGGTTTCATGTCATCCTATGGCTAGCTCAATGGTTTGCTATGGTTAGTGCCATGGCCTTCTATGGCGACTTCCATGGGTTGTCACGGTTGACCCCGTGCCCTGCTATGGCTAATCCCATGGCTTCCTATGGCTGGGTCCATGGCGATTTCCATGGCTAGATCCACGGCTAGTTCCATGGCTAGTTCCATGGCTATATATGGATAATTATCCAAGTGGGGTTGCCTATTGGAGTCGCAGCTAAATCCGTAGAGAACTGGTCCACGAAGGCCGGGCGCGGGAGTGAGTTTGACCGTGCGCAGTATTGCTAATCCCATGACTATTTCCATGACTTCTGGATGGTCCCATGGCATCCTATGGTACGTTCCATGGCTTCTCATGGCTAGTTCCATGGACTCTCATGGCTTATATCGTGGCTTGCTCTGCCTAGCTCTATGACTAGTTCCGTTGCTTTCTCTGGTTGCTTCTTGGCTAGGTCCATGGCTTAATATGGCTGGTTCTATGGCTTGGTATCGCTAGTTCTATTGCTTCCCATGGCTAGTTCCCTGGCTCCCCATTGCTGGTTTTATTGCTATTTCTACGGCTCCCCATGGCAGATTCTATGGCGTTCTATGTCTGGTTCCATACCTAGTTCCATAGCTTACTATTGCAAGTACCATGGCCTCCTATGGCTAGTTTTATGGCTTCCTCTGGCTAGTTCGAAGGATTCCAATGGCTCGGTCAATGGCTTGCGTGCTTCCGTTGTTGCTTGCTTGCGTGCGTGCTTGCTTGCTTGAGTCCAGGGAGCCCGGCGAGTCCAGTGATTCCGAGAAGCTCAGGGCGTCTAGGGAGCCCAGTTCAGATTCTCGTCGTCGTCGTCGTCCTCTCGTCGTCGTCGTCCCCTCGTCGTCGTTGTTGTCGTCTAGTCGTCGCCGTCGATGTCGTCGTCTCATTGTCCTCGTCGTCGTTTCGTCATCGTCATCGTCGTCTCGTTGTCGTCGTCGGCGTCTCATCGTCATCGTCGTCGTCGTCGGCGTTGTCGTCTTGGTCCCGTCATGTTGTCGGCGCCGTCGTCTTCGCCTCGTCGTCATCATCTCTTAGTATCGTTGTCGCCTCGTCGTCGTCGTCGTCGTTTTGTCATGCTTTGTTGCCGTATTTTTCTCGTCGTCGTCGTTGTCTCGTCGTCTTCGCCTCGTCGTCGTCTCGTCGTTCCCCTCGTCGTCGTCGTCACGTCGTCGTCGTCCTCGTCGTCGTCGTCGTCTAGTCGTTGGCGCCGCCGCGTGGTCGTCGTCTCGTCGTCGTCTCGCCGTCGTTGTCTCGTTGCCGTCGTCGCGTCAACGTCTTCGTCGTGTCGCCGTTGTCTGTGTTTAATCATTGTCGCTTTGTCGTCGTCAACGTCTTGTCGTCGTCGTCGTTTCGTCGCCGTGTCGTCGTCGTCCTCCTCTTGTCGTCGTTCGTAGTCGTCGTCGTTTCGTCGTCGTGCCGTCGTCGTCTCGTCGTCGTCTCGTCGTCGTCTTCGTGTCGTCTTCGTCGTGGTCGTCATCTTTATTTCGTCGTCGCCGTCTTTGTCGTCCCGTCGTCGTCCATGTTGTTGTCGTCTCGTCGTCGTCGTGGCGTCGACGTCTCCTCGTCGTCGTCCCGTCGTCGTAGACGAAGTAGTGGTTCCAGTAAAGGTGCTAGTGGCTCCTATTATATGTTTGCAGTCAGCGCCGGTGGATATCACTGCTGGAGGAGGGGGGGGACAAGGAGGGGGGGCAGAATGAGGAGAGAGAGAGAGAGAGAGAGAGCAGACGGATCGAAAAAAGGAGTGTCAGACGGAGCAGAAGGATCAGGAGGAGGCTGGGGAGGAGGAGGAGCATCAGAACGAGGACGGGGGGGGCAATGGGGGAGGCGGAGGAGGGGAGGGGCAGGAGCAAAAGGATGCGGATGCGGAGGAGGAGGCAGGAGTAGGCGGAGGAGGAGGCAGGAGGAATAGGAGCAGGAGTAGGTGGGAGGAGGGTGGAGGAGGAGGAGGGGGGGGAACGAGGGTTGTAGTCGTCGTCCTCCTCCGAGCGCCAGCTGGTTCCTGCGAGGGTCGCCCTTGGCGTGGCTGGGCCCTCGGCGCTGCGCCGCGGCGCCGGGGGGCACTCGCGGCGCCCGGGGGGAGCGTGCATTAAATGTACAGCCCGGGATTTTGCCCGGGATTTCTTGACGGGACAAAAATTCCAGTGAAGCTGGACATTTATTATCCCTTGTAAATAGCATGGTTTAATTAAAATCCAGCTTCACGTGATTAAATGTCCAGCCCGGGATTTTGCCCGGGATTTTGCCGGGATTTCCCCGGGACATTTATTCTCCTGAGCCAGGACATTAATTCCGACGCCGAAGGCGCCGGGGGGGCGCCCTTGGCCCCCTGGGTGGAGGAGGAGGGCGGGAGGGAGAGGCGGGAGGAAGAGGGTGGAGTAGGGCGAGAGACGAGGAGGAGCGCGGAGGCAGGAGGGAGACGGGGAGAGTGATGTGATGAGGGGATAGGGGAGGAGGGGGAGGATGAGGAGTGAGAGCGAGACAGGAAAGGGGGAATGAACAGGAGGAGGAGGAGGGAGAGGAGGAGGAGGAGGAGGAGGGGGAGGAGAAGGGCGAAAGAGGAGAGAGGAAGGATGATGAGCGAGAGGAAGTAGGATGAGGTGGGGGAGCAGGAGGAGGGGGAGGATGGAGGTTGCACCTGCCTTTGTAGTTTCTGGTGCGTTCGGTGCGTATGGCAGAATATGTGCTGCAACATTGTATCCAAACAGGCTTGCCTATGCGAATCCTAGCTCAATTCCAAGAGGAATTGTCCAAGGTTCCGAGGCGCGGGCTCAAATTTGACCTAGCGCGATCTCGGTAGTTCCTTGGCCTCTGGCTAGTTCCATGGCATCCTATGGCTAGTTCCTTGTCTTGCTTTGGCTACTCCCCTGGCTTGCTATGGCTTGTTCCATGGCTTCCTATGGCTAGTTCCATGGTTTGCTGTGGTTGGTTCCGTGGCTTGCTACGGCTAGTTCCCAGATTCCGATGGCTTCCATGGCTAGACCCGCAACTAGTTCCATGGCTTGCTATGGCTAGTTCTCCAAGTATGCTTGCCTATAGGAGTCCCAGCTCAATCCCTAGAGAATTGGTCATGAAGGCTGGGCGCGGGAGTAGTTTTGACATTGCACGATCTTGCGAGTTCCATGGCTGGTTCCATGGCTTTTGTCTAGTTCCATGGCTTCCTGTGGTAAGTTCCATGTCTCCCTATGGCAAGTTCAATGGACTCCAGTGGCTAGTTCCGTGGTTTGCTGTGGCTAAATATACGGCTGGTTCCATTGCTTTATGAGGCTAGTTCCATGGCTAGTTCCATGGCTTCCGATGGCTAGTCCCATGGCTTCCTATGGCTAGTTCTATGGCTTCCTATGGTTAGTTCGATGGCTTCCCGGCTAGTTCTGTGCATAGTTCTATGGTGTCCTATGGTGAGTTCAATGGTTTTATATGGCAAGTTCTATGCCTAGTTCCATGGTTTCTTAGGGCTAGTTCTATGGAGTCACATTGCTGGTTCTATGGCTTCCCATGGCTAGTTATATGCCTTGCGCGCTTGATTTCTTGTTTGCTTGCGTGCCTGCTTGCAGTCCAGGGAGTCCGGCGAGTCCAGGTATTCCAGGGAGTCCAGAGCGTTTGGGGAGTCCAGGTAATCTAGGCAATCTTGTTGTCGTTGTCGTCGTCGTCGTCGTCGAATCGTCGCGCCGTCTCGTCGTCTTTGCCGTGTCGTCGACGTCGTCGTCTCGTCGTCGTCGTCGTCGTCGTCTCGTCGTCCTCGCTGTCATCTCGTCGTTGTTGTGTCATCGTCGTCGTATCGTCGTCGTTGTCTCGTATTCGTCGCCTCGTTGTCGTCAGCGTTTTCGTCGTCGTCGTTGTGTCGTCGTCGTCTGCGTCGCCGGCTCGTCGTCGTCGTCGTCATCGCCTTCGCATCGTCGTCGTCTCATCGTCTTTCTCGTCGTCTCGTCGCGTCGTCGCTTTCGAGTCGCAGTCGTCTCGTCGTCGTCTGTGTTCTAATCGTTGCCGTGTCGTCGTCAACGTCTTGTCATCGTCGTCGTCGTGTCGTCGTGTCGTCGCCTTCGTCCTCGTGTTGTCATCTTGTCGTCGTCTCGTCGTCGTGTCGTCGTGTCGTTTTCGTTGCCGTCGTTGTCGTCTTCTCTTTGTCATCGTCGTCGTCTCGTCGTATTCGTCATCTTCTTCCTCTCGTCGTCGTCGTCGTCTCGTCTCGTCGTCGTCTCGTTGTCGTCGTCTCGTCCTCGTCGTTTGGTCAAAGTCGTCGTCGTCGTCGTCATCGTCTCGGGGTCGTTGTTCCCCGCCCGTCGTTGTGTCATCGTCGTCGTGTCGTCGACGTCATGTAGTCGTAGTCGTCGCCGTCGTCTTGTCATGGCGCCGTCGGCAGGTCGTCATCGTTGTCTCGTCGTCCTCGTCGTCTCGTCGTCGTCGTCTCGTCATCGTCGTCGTCGTGTCGTCTCGTCGTCGTCCTCGTCTCTCGGCATCGTCTCGTCGTCGTCTCGTCGCCGTCGTCGTGTCGTCTTTGTTGGCTGTTATGGCTGTCGTGTTGTCTCTTCGTCGTCGTATCGTCGGGTCGTCTCATCCTCCTGCTATGGCTGTTGAAGCTGATATCCGCACGCGTGGATGCCGTTGTGTTTTCGCGCGCGCAACGTCATTGCCAACGCGCATCGCGAGACATCCGCAGAATACGCACACTCAAGATCTGCCTTTGAAGCCGCGTTTCCGCGATCAGAAACTGACCATATCGGAAAGTATTTTTGGATTAAATGTCCGGCCCCCCCCAGATCCCTCAGACGGGGCCAGCCAGCTGTTGCTGAAGTCACACTATTGGACCCACGCTTGCTAACATTTCTTGTTTGTGTCCAGCTGCCTGCGGCGAGTCCTGCCGCGGTGCTAGCGCAGTGTACTGGGTGACGATTGTTCGAGGGTGAACAGGAGGCCGTCGCGTGTGACGCCTCGTGTCTCCAGGATTCAGAGGGCCGTGATAAGAATGATGAGGATTATGAGGATGATGGTGATGCTGACGGTGATGATAATGATGGTGATTATTATGTTGATGTTGATGTTGTTGATGATGATGATGGCAATCGATGGTGATAATGTTGATGTGGATGACGGTGATGACCGATTGTGATGATGATGGTGTGGGATGACGATGTTAATGATGGTGGGGAGGAGGAGGAGGAGGCGCATGAGCCTGATCATGATTATGGTTGCGTTCGTGATTTGATGATGATGTTGTTTGTGATTAGAATGAGGGTGATGGAATCTGATGACGGTGTTGATGATGATGATGGTGATGATGGTGGGGATGACAGTGATGATGATGATGATGATGATGATGATGATGATGATGGGGGTGGTGATGCTGATGATGATCAGGATCAGGTTCATGGTCATGATTGTGATTGTGTTTGCGATGGCGATGGTTATGATAATCGTGATCGTGTTCGTGATGGTGATGGGGATGATGAGGATGATGCTGATGATGTGGTAATGATGGTGGTGATGATGAAGATGTTGATGATGTCGACGGTGACGATTATGATGATAGTGACCCCGATCACAAGGATGATGGTCATGATGATGATGCTTAGAATGGTGATGAGGATGGGAGTGATGCTGACGCTGATGGTGGTGATTATGATGCTGATGATGACGTTGGTGGTGTTGTTGGTGATGACGATGATGACGGTCGTGGTGAAAATGAGGATGATGATGATGATATTGGTGGTAATAATGACGGTGATGATCCTGAGACGATGATGATGGTGAGTGTGTTGCTTATGCTGTGTTTGTTGTTGCTGTTGCCGCTGGTGATGGTGATGATGATGATGATGCTGCTGGGAATGGTACGGTTGGTCATGATGATGAGGTTGATGAGTTGGATGTTGGTGATGGTGATGATGATGATGATAATGCTGTTGATGCCGATGCCGATGCTGCTGCTGATGATGATGGTTGTGGTTGTAATGATGATGGTGCTGATACTGATTATGATGATTCTGATGGTGACGATGATAATGCTCATGCTAATGATGATGCTGATGCTGATGATGTTGATGCTGGTACTGGTGCTCATCATGATGATGATGGTGATGATGTTGATGATGATGGTGATGATGATGGTGATGCTGATGCTGATGGTGGTGATGATGATGATGCTGATGCTGATGATGATGATGGTGGTGATGATGGTGGTGGTGGTGTGGTGATGGTGATGATGATGCAACTCGTTTTGGCCGTCTTTGGGCTGTCTTGGCCTCCTGTGAGGCAGTCAGTGGGGTTCCGTTGGGGCTCTGTCGGGCCGTCTTGGAGCACTCTTACGCTGGCTTGGGGTTCTCTTGGGCCGTCTTGGGGACCTCTTGGCCGTATGGTGGGGGCCGTCGTGGGGCCGTCGTGGCGCCGTATTGGGCCGTTTTGGACGCCTCTTGGGCCATCGTGGAGTCCTCGTGGGCCGTCTTGAGCCGACGGCAGCTCGAAACATGAGAATGCGACGTTCATTTAAAACGCTGCGGGGCACGCCATGGTTTGGGCTTCTTCGGACCGTGTTCGAGTTCCTCTCGTGGTCCTTCTGGGCCCTCGTGGAGGCATCTGGGGGCGTTCTGAAGCAATCTTCAGCCGCCTCGGGGCCAGCGTGGGCCGTCTTCGAGGCATCTTGGGACATCTTGGTGTCCTTGGTTGCTTGCACGGGCCGTCTTTGGGAGGCGCTGTAGCGTTTAGGAGCAACGCCTGGGAATGCGGAACTCGCGCGATCCTCGAGCGGCGCGCGTGGCATGAGGGGTCTAGGAGGTAGCAGCCATGCTGGAAGTGCGCAATCCTCGAGCGGGCGCGAATGTAATGATGGTTCAGGCATTCGCTGCCATGTGGGAAGTGCACCATCCTCGAGCGGGCACACATGGAACGGGGATTCAGGTATTAGCTACCATGCCAGACGCGCACGATTCTCGAGCGGTGCACGTGGGATGAAGGTTCTCGGAGGCAGCAGCCATGCGGGAAGTGCGCGATCCTCGAGCGGGCATGAGGGAAGTTGCCTCGGAAAGGAGGGGCGGTGCATGCGGCAGTCTGCGGGTAGCGGGAAGGGGGTCTTAGATTTGGAAAATACCCCACCAGATGGACATTGGCACTCTTTCACGCCTCAGCGTGTCAGGGGGCATAGTGGCGGAGATCACTGTTTCTTGTTCCAGGAGCATGTCGTGGTAGGCCTATAAGGGTGCCGGGGCGGTCGGTCCCTGCTCAGAAGGAGGAGGCCGAGAATGCCCAGCGCGTGGAGGCCGCCAAGAAGGCCGCGCGAGACCTGAGCAAGAAGCTGAACTTCGACGCGCTCAAGGAGATGTCCAACGAGGAGCGCGTCGGGCTCGTCGCCGAGCTGGGCCCAGCGTTCGCGGTCTCCGCGCTCATCGTGGGCACGTGCTACTGGACGCTCAGCTCGAAGGAGGAAGCGCGGCACAGGCACAAACCGTCGGAGTGCCGCGCGGACCTCTCGGACCGGGTTTGGCCGTGCCGACTTGTCCGTGAGTCCTCGGGTCGGCGTGGCAGTCCCGAAGCTTTGCGTCAATGCTGTTCTTCCTTGTTCTGTCAGCGGCCTCATCTTCGTCGTCGTGATCGAAGACGCCTACGGCGAACCACCGACGCCCCATTCTTTTTGGAAACGCCCATGCTGCCAGTCGTTGGGCCAACGCCTTGCCAAGCTGTTGGACAATGTGCTCCCCAATCCGTTGCGGACTCCCATCGGGATAACACCTGTGAGAGGAAGAGCAAGGTGGGTGAGGTGGAGGTGACGGAGGATGTGAAGCCTACCTCTTTCTCCTCTTCCTCCTCCTCCTCCTCCTCCTCCTCTTTGTCTCCTCCTCTTTGTCTCCTCCTCCTCGTGTCCTCCTCTTCTCCTCAGCCTCGTCCTCCTCTTCCCTCTGCCCACTTGTGTCCCCCTGCGTGGTCCAGCTGCCCCAGCAGCAGGCGCCGCTTCTCTGCCCTCCGAGGAGCCCTGCGGCACGGAAGTTGTCGTCGCTAGCCCCTTACTCTTCTCGTGTTGTGCCCCGGCTTGGGTCAGGGGGCCCGGCCCGCAGGTCAGGGGGCAGGTTTCCCTCCTCCTTCCCCCTTTCTCGCTCCTCCCTCTTCGCTGCTCCCTGATCAGGAACAGAAGAGGAGGAGTAGGAGGCCTCTCGAGGACGTCTTGTTGCTTCCAGGGGGCTTCCTGAGAGCGTCTTGGGGCCTCCGATGGGCCTCTTAGGGGGGCCGCCTGGGGCCTATTGGGCGGGGGCGTATTGGGGGCCCTTGGGGGCCTCTGAGGGCCCTCTTGGCCTTCGGAGGCCGCCTCGGGGGCCTCTCTGGGAAGGTGTGGGTCCCTCACAGGGCGCTCTGGGGCCGCCGTCTGTGGGGTCGTTTTGGGGCCTCTCGGGCCGTCTTTGGGCCCCCCATTGTGACGTATTGCTGGCCTCTTCGGGTTTTTCTTGGTTCGTCTTGGGGCGATCTGGGGGGCCTGCCAGACTGCCTTGGAGCGTCTGACGCAGGCGAGATCTCACCACCCACCAAACCACCCCAACCCAACCCGAAAGCCTCAACTTGTCCTCCACTTCCAGAGGGGAGGGGTCCGGGAACATCGAGAAACACATATGAAGTCCATAGAAGTTCGGGTCTTCGGGTTGGGTTGGGGTGGTCTGGTAGGTAGTCAAGAGCGTTAAACTGACTCAGCAGCAGCAGGGGCATCAGCTGCGCGACGCAGGGACCACCATATGTGCATCTCGCTCCCTAAGCGCTGCACTCTCCGCGGTGAGCGCCTGGCTGTGCGTGTCTGGATGTGCGAGTGAGCCTGAGTGGGCGACGACCACGACCACGACCACGACCACGACCACGACCACGACCACGACCACGACCACGACCACGACCACGACCACGACCACGACCACCACGACGACCACGACGACCACGACGACCACGACCACGACCACGGCGGCAGCTACGGAGAGGGGCGACGACGGAGATTCACGGGAAGACGGGCGGCGAGCAGGCCCACTCTCTCCTGCCCCAGCCTCCCCGTCGTGGCCCCTCCCTTCCCTTCCGCCCTCCTCCCTGGTTTCTCCTCCGTCCTTCTCCGTCCTCCCTCCTTCCCGGCGGGGCGTCCTCCCCCCTCATCCTGCATCCTCCCCCCTCCTCCTCCTCCTTCTCCGTCCTCCATCCGACGTCCTCCCTCATCCAGCCTTCTCCCCGGGAAGTGCCCCCGTCCTCGGCGGCCTCCTCCCCGCTCGTTCCTCTTCCTCCTCGCCGCAGCCCCTCTCTTCTGGCCCCCCCCCCCTCCCTCCTCCCTCCTCCCACGTCCTCCTCAATTCTCGTCCGTCCTCCATCCTCCTCCCCGGGCGCGAACGGGGCCGTGCGACCCCCCCTGGCCACTCTCCCCTGGGGCGCTGCCGAAGCCAGCTCCTCGCTGGAGGCATCCTCACACTCTGGTGTGAAAGCAGGGGAGCCTGGGCAACCAAAGAGGCAACCCGCCTGCGACCACCCAACAATCTGGGCGCTGCCAGGGCCGTGCAGCCACCCCTGGCAGCCGGCCCCTTGGGGTGCTGACGCCAGCGCCTCGCCCAGGACGTCCTCACCGTGTCCTCTGACAACAGAGGGCCTGGGCAACCAAACAGGGTAACGTCCACAAACATCACCCACAATCTGGGCGCGCGCAGGGCCGTGGAACCACCCCTGGCGGCTTCCGCCTGGGGTGTGGAAGTTGGCACCTCGCACGACACATCCTCACGATCTGCCTTGAAAGCGCACAGCATTCTGGACAGACAGGCGAACCTCGTGTAGCACCCCCACAAGCTGGGCGCGAACGGGGCCGTGCAACCACCCCTGGCGGTCCCCCTTTGGGGGGCTGGAGCCAGCGCCTCGCTCGAGGCATCCTCGCGATCTGCGTTGGACGCAGAGGAGCCCGGGCAACCACACGGGGAGGCCACTTGAGGCAACGCACGACAACCTGGGCACGCGCAGGGCCGTGCGACCACCCCTGGCGGCTGCCCATGGGCGTGCGGAAGCCAGCGCCTCGCGTGATACAGCCTCACGACGGGCTGAACGTCTGAGGGCCGAGACCTTCGTGGGCCCTGGAAACAACAGGGCCGTTTTTTTTTGCTGGTTCCGTTTTGCCGTTTTTCCCCGACAGGGCGCGGGCCCAGGGTTCTCTTTTAGTAGGTTAACCCCCCGGCCCCCCTGCGACTTGGGCCGGCGAAATTATTTTGCGAGCGGGCGCGCACGGAGTAGGGCCGGCGAAATTATGTTTGAGGATGTCTCGAGCGAAGCGCTCGTTTTTTTTTTTTTTTTTTTTTTTTTTTTTTTTTTTTTTTTTATACATAGAATTTGTTGAGGATGTCTCAAGCGAAACGCTGGTTTTGCAGAGTTGGGGATGTCTCGAGCGAAACGCTTGGTTTCAGAATTTGTTGAAGATGTCTCGAGCGAAGCGCTGGTTTTGCAGAGCCGACCGCGACACGGAAAAGCGCTCCACGCGCAGGAATTCCGAGGATGTCTCGCGCGTGCCGCGTCCCGCACGCAGGAATTTTGATTTCTTTAGGTTTTGACAGGATTTCTCAAGCGAAACGCTGGTTTTGCAAAATTGGGGGATGTCTCGAGCGGTGGCCTCGTGGGGGGCCAAAATTCAGAGGATATCTCAGGCGCAATGTTTGTTTTCGTGTCCCGCTCGCAGGAATTCCGAGGATGTCTCGCGCGTGCCGCGTCCCGCGCGTAGGAATTCGGATGATTGTGATAGGATGTTTCGAGCGAAGCGCTTGTCCCCAGCGCGTTCAGTAGCGCGTCCCCTTGGCACGTCCCGCGATGCGACCCCATGGCACGTCCCCTGGCACGTCGCCTGGCGCATCCCTTGGGGCGTTTCGCGGCGCGTCCTCCTGGCATGTTCCCCTTGTCAATTAGCTCTGGGGCAGCTACTATGTGTTCAGGCAACTCGAGCTTAAGATCCAGATCAGTTCGGTCAGGACTCGGATGCAAAGGAGGACTCGATCCACGACGCTATAGAGCACAACCGCGGCATGGCACATCGCAATTCAGCACGGCGCAGCACAGCACACCCTCGGCAGGGTACATCAAGATCGATACACTCAGCAGTGCAACTTGGCACGTTCCTTGGCACGTTCCGTGGGGCGTCCCTTGGCGAGTCCCCCTGGCACGTCGCGTGGCGCGTCCCCTGGCACATTCCGTGGCACATCCATTGGCACGTTCCGTAGCGCGTCCCTTTGGCACGTCCTACGGTGCGACCCCATGGCGCGTCCCCTGGCACGTCGCCTGGCGCATCCCTTGGGACGTTTCGCGACGCGTCCTCCTGGCACGTTCCCCTGTCCATTAGCTCTGGGGCAGCTACTATGTGTTCAGGCAGCCCGAGCTTAAGATCCATATCAGTTCGGTCAGGACTCGGATGCAAAGGAGGACTCGATCCACGACGCTATAGAGCGCAGTCGCGCCATGGCACATCGCAATTCAACACGGCGCAGCACAGCACAACCCTTGGCAGGGTACATCAAGATCGATACACTCAGCATTGCATTTGCCCGTCACCCAATCAGGTGTCTTTGAAAACGCTGCCATGTGTTTCAGTTCTATATTCCTTTCCGGGTTCGTGGGTCGATCATGTTTCCCATGTTCCGACGCCGTTGTTTTACTGGTTCCGTCGCCGTTTTTCGGCAGTTTTTTTAACTGGTTCCCGCTCCGGTTCCACTCCTGGGGCCGTTTTTGTTGCCGTTTCCGCTCGCCGTTTTTTTGTTGTTTCCATATTCGAGGGGCATTTCTCTGGAAACGGTGAAAAAACGGCCCTGGCGTTACCGGGGCCCACGAAGGCCTAGACACCCAAACAGGCACATTGTCGGACACATATATCCCCACAATCTGGGCGCGAGCGGGACGGTGCAGCCCTCCCTGGCGGCTCCTTTTGTGGTGCCGAAGCCGGCGCCCTCGTTCGAGGTATCCTCGCCTGAGACATCCCCACAGTCTGGGCGCGAAAAGGGCCGTGGAACCGCCCCTGGCGGCCGCCCGTGGGGTACTCGGAACCAACGCCTTGCTCAAAACATCCTCGCGATCTGCTCTGACAGCAGAGGAGCCCTGGGCAACCAAGCAGGGAAACCGCCAGAGACATCCCCACAGTCTGGGTACGAACGGGGCCGTACGACCACCCCTGGCGGCCCGTACAACCCCTCCCTGGCGGCTCCAATTGGGGTGCTGAAGCCAGCGCCTCGCTCAAGGCATCCGCACAGTCCGCGAGGCTAAGTGCGAGAGCGTCGCAAGTCCACGCGCGAGTGAGGCTGATTGTGGGTCAATCGCGAGTCATATTGAGCGTGCGTGAACATGAGTGCGAGTGAGTCTGAGTGTGAGTGAGTCTGGGTATGAGTGAGTCCGTGGTCGAAGAGGAAGTGGTGAGTGAGTATTAGTGTGAGTGAGTGTAGGCATGAGTGAGTCTGAGCATGAGTGAGTCTGAGTGAGGAAGTGGAGGATTCGCGTGAGTCTGAGTGTGAGTGGGTCAGAGTTTGAGTGTGTCTCTAAGTATGGCTGAGTTCGATTGCGACTGAGTCAGCGTATGAGTGAACTTGCGTGAAGAAGATGAGGAGTGTGATTGAGTGTGAGTG